ACCAGCAATACATGAGAATTACCTTGCTCTACACTTCTCACCACTTAATATTGTGAGCACTTTACTTTTCTTGGTATTTGAAACAGTAAGTCAGTGTGATTTCAATTTGGAGTTTTCTGATAATTAATGAAGTTGACCATATACTCATGTTTTTTAGCCATTTATATTTCCTCATTTGTGAAGTGTATGTGCAATTCTTCTGCAACTATTTTCAATGGAGAGATATGGTTTGCTCATTGATTTAGAGAAATGTTATATTCATCTAGACACTAGTAGCTTTTCTGTATAATTTAAAATACTAAATCAAGTCACAATTTAAATAAATTTGAACCTTTTGTGTTGTTTTAAAAACTTATTTCCTACACTGATATCATGGAAGAAGTTTCCATTATTGTGACCCTAAGTGCTTTCAGGTATTATTTTCTCATATTTAGGCTTATAATTTACCTGAAATTGCTTTTAAGTACAGTATGACATAGTAGTCCAATTTCATTTTCTTATTTATGAATAACTTCTATTTTTAGTTTTCTATTTTTTCCTTCTGTTTGGAATTGGAACCTACATGCTTTTAGTTGCACAAAACATTCCAACATGCATATCTAATTTATCACAAGCTGAAGTTAATGGTACAGGCTGAGAAGCCCTCATCCGAAAATCGGAAATCCAAAATACTCCCTTTGCGCATCACATTGGTGCTCAAAATGTTCTGGATTTTGAAGCATTTCAGGTTTTGGATTTTTGGATTAGGAACATTCAATCTATATCTTTATTCTTCTCTTGGACATTACTAAGACCTCTGACAACTTGAAGTTCATTTCTCCTCTCATCCAAACTTGTATGTTATTATAGTCATGTATTTTAATTCCACTTTATTCACATATTTTGAGACAGACTCTTACTCTGTCACCAGGCTGGAGTGCAGTGGCACAATCTCAGCTCACTGCAACCTCCGCCACCTGGGTTCAAGCGATTCTTCTGCCTCAGTTTCCCAAGTAGCTAAACCACAGGCACGTGCCACCATGCCCAGCTACTCTACATTTTAAAGCCAACTATGGTTTTATGCAGCTAATATTTATTCAGATTTGCCAATGTACCTGCCATTTTTTCTTTTTGTTCACTTGCAAATCAGACCTTCCAGCCAAGATCATTTTTTTTTCCTTTTTGTCTTTTCTCCTCAAACTACTTTTACCACAAGGCCACTTTCTACTGAAAATACCTTCAGATTACATGTAATGAGGGTTTCTGAGCATTTCTTTTTCTAAACTTTATTTTGCCTTTATCCTTAAAGGATACTTTCAGCAGGAGTAAAGTTCTAGCTTGGTAGTTACTTTCTTTACACATCATTAAGTACATCAAACAACTATCTTCTGGCTTCCATGATGGCTCTCAATAAGGGAGCTTGCAGTCATTCATTTGAATGTAATCTGTTCATTCTGTTTACTTGCTTTAAGTTGGTATATGTGCTTGGCATGCTGCAGTTTCTATGGCTTGGCTGGTGTGGATTCTTTCTTCTTCAATTTACCCTACTTGTGATTCACTGAAATTCCTGAATCTCAAGATAAGTATCTTTTATCAATTCTGGTAAACTTTGAGATATTATCTCACCAAGTATTAATTATGCTTCAGCCTTTCTAGGAATTCTGATTAGATATATTTTAAATCTTCTCAATCTATCCTTCATTTCCCTTTCATATTTCTTGATTTTTTTTTGTCAATTGATGTTATGTTCTTAATATTTTCTTCTCTATTTTTCAGTTTACGAATTCTCTCTTCAGATGTATCTAATCTCCCATGTGTGGGGTGGTGTGGTGGTGTATAATTCAATTGATTCACTTGTTTACTTGTTTCAAAAATTCTATTTGGCTTTCAAACCTGCTGGATTGTTTTAAATATTTTCTATGGCCTATAAATTTTAAAATTTGCCTTTTACTTCAAGAATAAGAATAGTTGTTTTAAAATCTGTGTCTGATACCTCCAACAACTGAAGTAGTTATAGACTTGTTTCTGCTGGTTCCTTACTTCCATGTGTAGGTTAAAAATAATAAATCAGAAAGTAGAGATGCATCTTCATTAGTCATGAAATCGAGGAAGACAGAAGGGCATAGTTTTTCACATACTCATGGGGAGACTTTTGGGTAGACTCTGGGCTACCCTACAGCTTTTACAAAAAGTATTGTGGGAATGTTAGTTTGACCTTCTCCCTGTAAGTCTCCAGGTATAAATATTAGCAGTCAGGTTGAGGATGCGAGGCTTATGTCAAATATTTCTTTTTTGGGGGCTGCCATCTCATCAGGGCCAACTGCTTTGACTTTTAACTTGCTTTTAAATGTATCTCTGCTCTTAAAATTCATGAACTATGCCCTTACTGATATTAAGTGATTTGTCCTTTGATTCCCTTATGGTGGAAAAAAAGCCTTTATACATTAGCTTGAATTGTGACCACATTTAAAGGCACAAAAGCTGAGTATGAATTTCTTTTAAAGGCTTTCATGTTGGCTGTGAGTCCATACATTGCCTTGAAATGGCACTGCAATTAAACTCGTCTAAATTCCATGAACTGTACTGAGCACCCACTAGAACACCATGCACTGGCTCTGTGGATATCAGGACAAATGAGACACAGTCCTGGTTGGATCAATAGATTATTCCCTTTTCCTTTTATCTCTTATTCCTAAGAAAACCAGGAAAAGTGTGAGTCAAGGACATTAGACAGCTCCAAGTTCAATACTCAGATGTATGTGAGCTTACACAATTAAGGAGCATTGGCTTTTAACATATGAATGTTTGTAAGTTGATACCAAAGAAACTACATTTGCTAAAAGAGTGCTTGAGCTGGGTGCGGTGGCTCAAGCCTCTAAACCCAGCACTTTGGGAGGCCAAGGTGGGCTGATCACAAGGTCAAGAGATTGAGACCATCTTGGCCAACATGATGAAACCCCATCTCTACTAAAAAAACAAAAATATTAGCTGGGCATGGTGGCACACACCTGTGGTCCCACCTACCCAGGAGGCTGAGGCAGAATTACCCAGGAGGCAGAGGTTGCAGTGAGCTGAGATCGCACCACTGCACTCCAGCCTGGCACCTGGCAACAGAGCAAGACTATCTCAAAAAAAAAAAAAAAAAAGAAAAAAGTTTGAAGCTGTCCAGAGCCATTTTCCTGATGAACAAGGAAATGGCATCATTATTTTATAGCTGTAGGATTCTCTTCTTCCTGTCTCCCTCTCCTTCTTCCTTTTCTTCTCCTGTGCTCCCCAGTGTGGTTACCCACTTCTCTGTGACCCAGCCCTAAGTCTAAAGCCCAAGTGCCCCAAGCAATGGCTGTGCAGACATCAACTTTGAAAGAGTGCTCTGAACTCAGTGTGGAGCTGCAGGGAGAAGATATGGAGAAGAGTTTTATGTGGACCACATCAGGAAGGCAGGTTGGCTAAACGTTTATCTGAAAAGCTTTCATTTGTGCAGAGCCCACCTGCTATTCGGTGCCAGCAATAGGCAAAACTGACTCACTGTGATTCATGTGGCAAACTGCAACCAACTGAAGGCCACCTAAGCACCCATGCCATGTGTGCATAACGGCCGCCATCAAGATGCTCTGAAGGGCTGCACCCTTGCAGGCAGTTCAATAGTTCAGTGTGCCAGAGACATGCTGAGGTGTCTTTCTGTCCTAGCCCTTCTCATGTCCACCTGCCTAGAGGCCCATTGAGAGCCCGAGCTCTGCTGAAAAGGTGAGGCCCTCCTATACTACGTTACACAACACAAATGTCTCACCACAGAATCTTTCATCTTCTTGGGGAGAGGATCAGCAGCTGACTCTTCCAGATTTTGATGTAAAAACTTAGGAAACAGTCTGCATTGAATGAAGGACCTGAAAGTGGAAAAACACATAGGTTTTACTTTATCAATGACGTCCCTGGGGCAGTGTTTTTGGTAAATAACTTCACCTTAGATCTCACACCCACACATGACAAAAGCAGCGCCCTCTTCATTTAAAATCTAAAAAGAGGTACTTGTTAGTGATCATAATTCTCAATTTCACCCTAATGAGAGCAGTCAAGTACCTCAGCAGCAGCATCACCCTCTACTGTCAGCAGTGGGACAAAGGAACGGTCCTCCATCTCTGACAGCCCACTAGAGCTTCATCTTCACAAACAATTAGCAGCAGAAAGTGAACACTGAAGTAATACAACTGACACTAAAAAGTGTGAGAACCATTTAACTTTTCTTTTTTCCATTTTTCATGCCTTTGATACTGCCGCATCTAATAGCCTAAAATTATGCTGTCTCTGGTCCTCCAAGAGTATGGTTATCTTAAATCAAAATTTTTCATAAATTTAAACACATTACATAAGGATGCTACTGTCAGTATCGGAAACTCACTCTGGCATCACTTGAAAGACTTCCAGTGCCAGAGTACATGTGACCAAAGGCTTAAAAGATATGATTAAAGGGAAGATTGTAATGTATACATTCACGTTACTAAGGATCACATTAAACACATTTTAACACTTTGGTCTTTAAATCCAGAGGGCATTGGCCAGATTGAGAACCAACACCACCACAACAAAATAGAACAAAAACGTTTCCTTTCAGAGGTGCTGGTTTAGTCTCCACAGGTAACTGCCTCAATGCAGGGATGCAGTTTAATGGATCTAGAGAAAGTATTGTTGAGGTGGTAGCTTCTCACCCAACTCACCCAAGGGAAAGTCACAACAGGGCTTGGGTGCTATTGGCCATCTGTTCCTGCCACTGTGCATTTTACTCCAAAATCAAAGGAGCAAAGCCAAAATGTTTGCTGGATGTTCACTTTTAACTGTTACTAATTTCTGGCTGGTCCTGTATTTCTCCTGCCCTCCTCTGGTGAATGACCAGCTAGTTTAATAATGAGAGCCAAATTACAATAGGCAGTGATTTGCCATCTCCCCACCTCAGTCAGGGCAAAACGCTGTGGGAACCGCACCCCCTGCTCAGTGATGACAGCACAGGCATAGATCACTCACATGAAGGTCACTGCTCTGCCAGCTCAGATGGTAGGAAACGGTGACCAAGAGGCCATAGAAGGCTGAGAACAGCATCAGGATGTGTTACGTGCTCCATGGATCCTAAAGAACATATGTCAGTTAGCCAAGTCACTCCACAGTTACGTGAATAGCAGGATCTCTATCAAACATTAGAAACATCTCCACAGTCCAGCTGGATGGATGCGTTAATTCCTGTGATCATTCCTGCCCATGGACATATAAGCATCTAGTGGGTACATAAAAACCTCACCTGTTGGTTTATGAACATTGATTTTGATAAGGGATTGGGGTAGGGGGAGTTTTGACTAATTGTAAATACTTATAAGAATAAAACTGAATCTTTCCTGAAATTAAGCTTAGGATTTTTTATAGAATGTAATATTAAACATGTGTCACTCTTCTGAATTCAATGTAACAGTTATAATAATTATTTTTCTCAATGTTTATTAATTGATAGTCTAAATGGCATAAGTGTAAGACTAATAAACTGAAAACTTGATAAAGATTAAAGATAGCTGAAAGATTTCCATTGCAAGACTACACTGCTACTAAAGACTTACGATAAGATTAAATCAAAGATTGTAACGTATACATTCATGTTATTAAGGAATACACTAAATACATTTTAACACTTTGGTACAAATCTCACTTTAAATGGCGTAAGCAACGAAACAGCAAAGTTATTTGAAATGAAAAGAGAAAGGCACTTCAGGTTTAATTTGATAGAAGCACAGATATCAGTTATCAACACATGGTACTCAGCCTGGTGGAGCAGAACTTGAAAAATACATGTTACCAGCCCAAGTAGTGTGGTGGCCTGGGACTCCAGGTTTTCTTCCACACACACCTGCTGCTCCCACTAAAACAAACATGTCTCTCACATGCCAAGAAGAAAACATCTACATATTAACCGTCTCAATCACCATCAACAGAATCACTGATCCCTTCTAAAAGAGAAATTAAATACTTTTTTCTCAAGATTTTTTTTAAGATGGGTTGTCAATTGTGCTCACATGATGTTCAAATGAACGAGTCAAGTGTACTTAGCAGTTATCCTCTGTAACTGCTAAGATAGGCTGGAAAGCAAATATACCCTGGATAGAGCAGGTAATTTTATTTTTGAATGCTTCATTTTCTTACAAATTAAAATGTATTTCTTTTACCCTCCCCATTGTAGAAGTCTTAACGAACGAGAGCAGTACCTGGAACACAAATTGCAGGGAGCCGACTCTCGCAGAGACTGCTGAGCTGCATGGTTATAAGGTCAGGAAGTATGACTCACTGTCTCCAGACGTATCTCCACACAGATTCCCCACACCAAGACGTCCCGCGTGCCTCTCAGATCAGCTTCCCCAGAGGTCAGGTGCATTGCCTTTTCCAGCGCCCTAAGGTACCATGGCTGCATTCATTATTTTTTAGATTATGTGCAGATGTCTTCCTCTTGTTAAAAAACTTAAACCCAGTGATGAAGCATCCTCCATGGACCTTTTCTTCCTTTGAAGTTTTCATCAGCAACACCTTCCCTTCCAGTATCCAAGGAAGAGGTGTACTTCCTCCTTCCTGAGCCAAACCCTCCCCTCAGATCACGATGTCCTACTCTTTTTCATTGGTCCCCTCTGCCCAGCCGTTAAAAATACTTAAGTTGCTGACATCTTTTTTATTTTGAGATGGAGTCACTATCACCCAGGTTGGAGTGCAGTGTACACGATCTCGCCTCTGCAACAACCTCCACTCACTTCAACCTCCACCTCCCAGGTTCAAGTGATTCTCCTACCACAGCCTCCCGAGTGCCTAGGATTACAGGTGTGCACAACCACAACCAGCTAATTTTTTTGTTGTCACCATGTTGGTCAGGGTGGTCTCAAACTCCTGACCTCAGGTGATCTGCTCCCCTTGGCTTTTCAAAGTGCTGGGATTATAGGCATGAGCCACCACCAGCCAGTTGCTGACATCTTTAACAAATAGTCCTCCTTCCCCTTGTTCCAGTTGCCCTCGAAAGCTACTGTACTATCCTAGTCTGTTTGGGCTGATATAACAGAATACCATAGACTGGGTGGCTTATAAACCACAGAAATTTATTTCTCACATTTGTGAAGGCTGAAAGCCCAAGGTCAGGGTGGAGGAAGGAGAAGGTTTGTTGTCTGGGGAAGCCCTGATTCCTAGATGGTGCCTGTTTGCTGTGTTCTCAGGTGGTAGAAGATGTAACAGAGCACTCTGGGGCCTCTTTTACCAGGCACGAATCCGATTAATGAGGACTCCTCCCTCAATAGCTGCAATCACCTCACAAAGTCCTCACCTCTGATACCGTTACATCGGGGATTAGGATTCAACATGAACTTTGAGGCAGACATTCAGTCTATAGCATATGCTATCCCTCTTTTTTCTTTTTCTTTTTTTTTTTTTTTTGAGACGGAGTTTCCCTGTTGTTACCCAGAGTGCAATGGCATGATCTCCGCTCACTGCAACCTCCGCCTTCTGGGTTCAAGCAATTTTGCTGCCTCAGCCTCCTGAGTAGCTGAGACTACTACAGGCGCGTGCCACCATGCCCAGCTAATTTTTTGTATTTTTAGTAGAGACAGGGTTTCACCATGTTGACCAGGATGGTCTCAATGTCTTGACCTCATGATCCACCCGCCTCGGCCTCCCCAAGTGCTGGGATTATAGGCACGAACCACCGTGCCCCGCCCCCTTTTTTCTTTAAGTGCCATCCCAGCCTTTCGAAGGTCTGGGCTCCACATTTCACTTCTGGTCATCGGTGAGTAACTCAGTAGTCTCTGTTATACTGGGTACCTTTAATGACTGGAGGTCCTACCGCAAGCTGTGTGACTTTGCCCTCCCAAAGTGCTAGAATTACAGGCATGAGACACTGTGCCCAGCCTTAGTATTATTATTAAGACAGAGTTTAGCTCTTATTGCCCAGCCTGGAGTAATAGTGCAATCTTGGCCCACGGCAACTTCCACCTCCTGGGTTCAAGTGATTCTCAAATGATTCAATCCTCCCAAGTAGCTGGGACTACAGGCATGCACCACCATGCCCAGATAATTTTTTTGCATTTTAGTAGAGATGGGGCTTTACCATGTTGGTCAGGCTGGCCTCAAACTCCTGACCTTAGGTGATCTACCTGCCTTGGCCTCTGAAAGTGCTGGGATTACCCAATACCCACAGTGTGGGGCAGTGTGTAAAGACAGCTGGAGCCAGAATGTTCGTGAGCTGATTATTGTTGAAGCTGGGTGTCAGTACATAGGGTTCATTATGCATTCTCTAGCTGTTATAGACAGAAATTCCCATAATAATTGGTTTTAAAAGAAATCAGCCAGGCAAAGTGGCTCATGCCTATAATTCCTGCACTTTGGGAGATGAAAGTGGAAGGATGGCCTGGGGCCAGGAGTTTGAGACCAGCCTGGGCCATACAGGAAGACCCTGTCCACCTGTAGTCCCAGCTACTTTGGAGGCTAAAGTGGGAGGACCATTTGAGCCCAGGAGTTTGAGGCTGCAGTGAGCTATGACTGTGCCATTGCACTCTGGCCTGGGTGACAAAAAGAGACCCTGTCTCTAAAAAATAATTTTTAAAAGATATTTAATTAACTAATTTACATATCTGAAGATGGAGTTTCACTCTGTCATCCAGGCTGTAATGCAGTGGCATCATCTCGGCTCACTACATCTCACAGGTTCAAGCAATTCTCCTACCTAAGCCTCCTAAGTAGCTGGGATTGCAGGTGTGGACCACCACACCCAACTAATTTTTGCATTTTTATTAAGGCCAGGCTGGTCTCAAAATCCTGAACTCAAGTGCTCCACCTGCCTCAGCCTCCCAAAATGTGAGATTCCAGGCGTGAGCCACCATGACAACCTTTTATATAAATTTTCTTTTTTAAAAGCATGACAGGCCCCAGGTCCCTTGAGTCTCATTTACTTCTATTGCATGGCAGCAGCTTCTGTCCCTTCCCTGTTCCCCAGGAACAGGAGCCAGCACACCACTCCTTCCCTGCCCAGGTCCTCCGGCCCCACCTTGCCTCCACCCAAGGCCACTCTCCTGGCAAGCCCACCCCAGTGCCTGGGATCTAGGGGAGGAGAGGCAGGTGGGGGTGGGCTTGCCTGCAGTGTAGAGATGATGCCAGTGGCCACCTGAAGCACAGCACTCATGGTGTCTGACACTTCAAACAAAGCTTTCCTGTCCTCCTGGGAGGAACATGGCAGAAGATGTTCCTCTTGGCACCCAGGGTCCCCACAGCCACACCCCACACTGAGGCATCCCTGCTGCCTTCCATGGGAAGAATACTCAGTACCCAAAGGAAGGGCCGAGAGCTCCATAAGCAGCCACAGATGGGGCTGAGTGCACAGGATTGGTGTAGGTACAGCAATCTTAGGGTCCCTGCCTGGGTATGCTAGAACCCCGAGAACTGGCACATGGTGTGTAGGCAGGCAGGCCTCCCACAGCCACTGTCCCCAGCCTCACAACTGTAGGTCTTTGTTGCAGGTGCTGGCAAGTTCCTTGAGGGTCATCAGGAGCACAGAATGTTGCAAGAAGAGGGAGGCATGGGGTTGGACCAGGAATTCTGCCCCTGCTGGGGATCTCATATCCACCCTTCCTTTCTCCCTGCCATGCTCACCTGCCCAAACACACACCCTTGCTTTGCTCCAGATCAGCTCCAAGCTGTCGGGGTTTTTCTTCTGGGGCATCAGGCTGCTTCTGGTGCTGCAGACAAAGATGCAGGCACTGAAAGGGCTAGGCCCTTGTCTGGTCCAGCAGCTGACTGGCCAGGTCTGGCAGAGGGCGGGGAGGAAGGAAGCCATGCCTAAGGGGTGTGGAGAATGCAGAGGCTGGGAGGGGCAGGTGGAAGTGGCAGTTCAGGGCTTACCTGTATGAGAGCTACATGAAGCTGAATTCCTTGGTGCCACAGAGGATGAGGTCCCTGGCCATCCTGCTGAGATGGGTCATGCAGAATGAAGCCTAGAACAGGAACTCAGCTGGGAGAAAGAAAAGATTCCCAGTCACCAAGCCTCTCTGGTACTCACCCAGCCTGACCATACAGGGAGAAAGAGGACATTAGGCGGTAGGGGGGACCTGGCTACATTTTCATTTTTTTTTTCCAGACAGGGTCTGTTCTGTTGCCAGGATGGAGTGCAGTGGTGAGATCTTGGCTCACTGCAGTCTCCACCTCCTAGGTTCTAGCAATTCTCCTGCTTTAGCCTTCTGAATAGCTGGCACCATGGCCAGCTAATTTTTCTATTTTTGTTAAAGACGGGATTTCACCATGTTGGCCAGGGTAGTCTTGATCTCTTGACCTCGTGATCCACCTGGCTGGGTCTCCCAAAGTTCTTGATTAGAGGTGTGAGCCACTGTGCCTGACCTAAATGTTATTCTGAGTAAAGATGGAGTCTTGCTATGTTGCCCATGCTGGTCTAAAACACCTGGGCTCAAGTAATCTTCCTGCCTTGGCCTCCCAAAGTGCTGGAATTACAAATGTGAGCCACTGCATTTAGCCTGTTTTTTGTTATTCTTGTTGTTTTAAATAAACCAGCTTTGGCTGGGTGTGGTGGCTCACTCCTGTAATCCCAGCACTTTGGGAGGCCAAGGTGGGCAGATCATGAGGTCAGGAGATCCAGACCATCTTGGCCAAAATGGTGAAACCCTTTCTCTACTAAAAATACAAAAATATTACCCGGGTGTGGTGGCACGCACCTGTAATCCCAGCTACTTGGGAGGCTGAGCCAGGAGAATTACTGGAACCTCGGAGGTGAAGGTTGCAGTGAGCTGAGATCGTGCCATTGCACTCAAGTCTGGCAACAGAGCAAAACAAAACAAAAAATAAGATAAACCAGCTTTACTGAGGTATTGTTCACATAAAATCTACCCATTTGCCCAGGCTAAAGTGTACTGGTGTGATCTCAGCTCACTGCAGCCTTGGACTCCTGGGTTCAAGCGATTCTCCTGCCTCAGCTCTCCAAGTAGCTACAGGTGCTCACCATCACACCTGGTTAAATTTTGTATTCTTAGTAGAAATGGGGTTTCACCAAATTGGCCAGTGCTGGGATTACAGGCGTGAGCCACCATGCCCTGCCCAATTTACTCATTTAAAGTTTACACTTTAGTGTACAATCAGTCTGACCATACAGGAGTAGGAGAAGACTGGAGAGAAGCTGGGCGGAGGGACAGAAGTGAAGCACCGGGCAGGGGACTGGCTCCCCAAAGTCACTTCACCCATGAAGTCATGCTCACTGGTGGCATCCAGGCTGTGAAGAGTGATGGCACCAAAGTTGAGTTCTGGGGGTTGGGAGGAAGCAGGGCTGGGCTGGAGAACAGGGAGTGCCTCCTCTCCCCTAAGCTGGTTGCCTGGCCCTCTCCCCCTGGAAAAAGGATCAGGGAAGAGGATTAGGGTGGGTGGGGTGGGAGCTGGGGAAAGGCATCTTTTCCAGTCTAGGAGGGAGGTAGGAGCCCTGAGTCTCTCAGTACCAGGCGCCCCTGCCATGGGTGACCCTTGGCCTAGATAAGCTCAGTGCCCATAGGCAATGAATGATGGTTTCACCAGGGGCCACTAGCTCCTGCCTTCTGGTGTGTCTGCATCTCCTGGCGAGTGCTGAGGGTGACTCTCCCTAGGGAGGAGGGACAGGGTATCTCACCTGCTCAGAGCAGCTCTCTGTCTATACCCAGGCAATTGCCCAAAATGGCCCTGCTTCAGGGACAGGGATTCATGGTGACCAGGGCTCCTGGCAGGCAACCCTGACAGACAGACAGAAAGACACACACACACACACACACACACACACACACACACACACACACAGAATGAAGTCCTAGTTGCCAGGCTCTTCCCTGGCCCAGTCACCTTGGGTCCACAACACTTGTCCCCTCATGTCTCCTGAACACTTATCCCCAAGTACCGAGTAACCTTGGGTGCAGAACCCTTGTCTCCTGACACATGTCCCCATATGTCAGCCTGAGGGCAGTGGGCTGGACTCACTAGGAGCCTGAGGAGGCCAGCCCTGCTCAGACACATTCACTGGCTTGGATGTCCCCACCTTAGCAAGACCTGGGGATCCATGCAGGGTCCCCCTCTGAGCAGATAACCTGATTTTCTAACCCTTTCTGCCCTTCCCAGCTCATGTGTGAATCCCTAGGCTATGCAGCAGCCACCCTCAACAGGCCCTTAGGGCACTGGAGTTTCACCCACCTCCCCAGGGGCAGGACAGCAATCAGCTTTTGCACCTCCAGCAGCTGCTCAGAATCTAGGGTCAGCACCATGCACCATTGTGGAAAGCCAGGGGCAGGAGAGTCAGGGCAGCCAGCCCATCCAGTACAGCCCCAGCAACTCACCCAGCTCACCTCAGAATCCAGTGGCTCCAGTGATGGGGTTGGGCCCTCTGCAGGTGGGTGTACCCTGGGAAGAGGATGTCATGTTCCCTGTGGGAGAGGAGGAGCAGGGACTCAGGTGGAGGCCAGGTCAAGGCCTGCCAGTGACACTGGGACACTGCAGGCCTGGGTCACCCTGGGAAGAAGTGTTGCCCTACAGCACTGCACCTGAATGAGGGATCCAGGGATCTCTCAGGGACAAATTGCTCTCAAAGGAAAAAGAGGACGAAATGGGGCCATGTGAACCATGGACTGGGCCTGAGCTGTGGGGCTCCTGGGGTGAGGCTTTGACAGGAACACCCAAAGCCTGAGCCTCTATCACTCAGCATCTCCCAGCTGGGGCTAGAAAAGGGGAGGAGGCCCATGTTGGGAATGACTTGGGTATGACTTGGGAGGTTTCATTTGAGGACCCCAGAAATAGCTGGGGCTCGCAGGTGGGATACCCTGCCCCTCATTCAAGTTACTAATTGTTCGTACTTTTAACAGAAACAGGGGTTCATCATGTTGGCCAGGCTGGTCTCAAGCTCCTGACCTCAGATGATCCACCCACCTTGGCCTCCCAAAGTGCTGGGATTACAGGCATGAGCCACTTCGTCCAGCCTGTTGCTGTTTTAAATAAACCAACTTTGCTGAGATATCACTCACACTTTAGTGCACACCCATCACCGATTTTAGAGCATTTTCGTCACCCCCTAAGGAAATTCTGTACTCAAGGCCAGGTACGGTGGCTCAAGCCTGTAATTCCAGCACTTTGGGAGGCCAAGATGGTAGGATCACTTGAGGCTGGGAGTTCAACCAGACCGTGCCACATAGTGAAAACCCGTTACTACAAAAAAATGTAGAAACTTTGCAGGGTGTGGTGCACACCTGCGGTCTTACCTACTCAGAAAGCTGAGGTGGGAAGATCATTTGATGCAGTGAACTATTACTGAGCCACTGCGCTCCAGCCTAGGTGACAGAGCAAGAGCTCGTCTCTAAACACAATTAAACAGAGAAAATTTGGCCAGGTGTGGTTGCTCACGCCTGTAATGCCAGCAGTTTGGGAGGCCAACATGGGTGGACCACAAGATCAGGAGATTGAGAACATCCTGGCCACATGGTAATACCCTGTCTCTACTAAAAAATACAAAAATTAGCTGGGTGTGGCACATACCTGTAGTTCCAGCTACTGCGGAGACTGAGGCAGGAGAATTGCTTGAATCTGGGAGGCAGTAGTTCCAGCTACTGTGGAGACTGAGGCAGGAGAATTGCTTGAATCTGGGAGGCAGAGGTTGCACTGAGCCGAGTGCCACTGCACTTCAGCCTGGGTGGCAAGAGCAAAATTCTGTCTAAAAAAAAAAAAAAAGTTAAAAATTTTAAAATTAGGCTGGGCGCAGTGGCTTATGCCTATAATCCCGAGGTGGGCAGATCACCTGAGCTCAGGAGTTCAAGAGATCAGCCTGGCCAACATGGTAAAATCCATCTCTACTGAAAAAAAATACAAAAATTAGCTGCCTGTGGTGGCACACACCTGTAATCCCAGCTACTTGGGAGGCTGAGGTAGGAGAATCACTACCTCAGACACTCCCTGTTCTTCCTAGCAGCCTTGCCCCACCTCCATGGTCACAATTTGTGTGCCCTTATTTCCCTCCAAGTCTGAGAAACAGGGGTCACAGGGAGTTGATGAAGAGGAGATGTCTCTGACAACACGTAGAGACTCCTCAGTAGGAAAGGAAGGAAGGGAGGAAAGGAAGAAGGAGGGCAGGAAGGAGAACGGGAAGTGTAAGTGCAAAGGGAAGGGAGGAAGAAAGAAAGAGAAAGAGAAAGAAAGAAGAAAAAAGAAAAAGAAAAAGGAAGAAAGGAAGTAAAGAGAAAGAAAGAAGTGGGAAAGGAAGGGAGGGAGGAAAGGAAAAAGGAAGGAGGGAAGGAAAGAAAGAAGGAAGAAAGGAGAAGGGGAAGTGGAAGGGGAAGTGGAAGGGGAAGGGAAAGGAGGAAGAAAAAAAGAAAGAAAAAGGAATGAATGAAGAAAGGAAAAATAAGGAAAGAAAGAGAGGAGAGAAATAGTGGAAGGGAGGCACAGAAGAAAGGAAGGAAAGGAGGGAGGGAGGGGTGTGTCACTAAGGTCAGGTGGAAAAGGTTGGGGCTGGGCTGGGAGGCAGGAGGTGGAAGTAAGCAAGGAAGGAGAGGAATGGAAGCAGGGAGACACTTGAGGAAAGGCAAGAAGAGGATCGAGCAGCAGGAAGGTGCCAGGGTCTGAGCTGGGAGACAGGTGATGCCCTGTGGAGCCCCCATGTTGGGGCTGCTCTGAGGAGCCAGGGTGTGGCTGCAAGTGAGTAGTAGAGGGTGACTGTGTGGCCACCCTCTAGTACTGAGGAGAAAGGGGTTGACAAGACTGGTGGTGGGAAGCTCTCTGCCTCTGGTCCCTCATACTCTTTTCTGCACAGCTGTTCTGGGACATTCCATGACTGGGGGAGTTCATGACTCTCCTCACCACAGCTCCTCATACCCAGCCCCCTTAGCAGACTGAGACCCTCACTACAAGCCTGGCCCAAGTGCCCAGAGTCACTCCCTCCTCCCCTCCTTTCTCCCTGCCCTGCAGTCAGGGGCTCATGGCGGTCCGGGATCCCCCAGTACATGCTGGCACTTGCCTTATTTTGAGACAGAGTTTCACTCTTGTTGACCAGGCTGGAGTTTGGAGGCAAAATCTCCGCTCGTTGCAACCTCTGCCTTCTAGGTTCAAGCATTCAAGCAACTCTCCTGCTTCAGCCTCCTGAGTAGCTGGGATTACAGGTACCCACCACCACACCCGGCTAATTTTTGTACTCTTTGTAGAGACAGGGTTTCACCATGGTCTCGAACTCCTGACCTCATGATCCTGCTGCCTCAGCCTGTCAAAGTGCTGAAATTACAGGTGTGAACCACCAAGCCCGGATAATTTTTTATATTTTTTTAGTAGAGCCAGGGTTTCACCATGCTGGACAGGTTGGTCTTGAACTCCTGACTTGAGATGATCCACCTCCCAAAGTGCTGAAATTACAGGTGTGAGCCACTGTGCCCAGCTTTTGTTTTTGTTTTTCCTGAGATAGAGTCTCACTCTGTTGCCCAGGCTGGCATGTGGGGTATGATCCTGGCTCACTACACCCTCCACCTCCTAGGTTCAAGCAATTGTCTTGCCTCAGCCTCCCTAGTAGCTGGGATTACAGGTTCACAGCACCATGCCCAGCTCATTTTTGTATTTCTAGTTTCACCACGCTGGCCAGGCTGGTCTCCAACTCCTGACCTCAGGTGATCCTCCTACCGTGGCCTCCCCAAGCGCTGGGATTACAGGCATAGGCCACTACTTGGTGGTCTTTAATGAACACCCTCTGGGTGAGTGAGTGCCCACTGGGAGCTGCCAGGCCCACCCCGTGTCTGTGGGGACTGCCCGTCCCCCACCACCTGCTGAGTTAGCTGAGCTTGTGTTCTTTCCCTTTTCTCCAGCTCTCTAGGGACTTCATAAAGCCCCCATTCCCTACCCACCAGCCTGGGGCACAAGAATCCACTCTCCAGTGTCCCTCACCTCTGGGACTTATGTATTGGTTTGGTGGTTTTCAAATGTCAGCAATTAATTTCCAGCTCATCACCGTTGTGACGACAGTGCATGTCCTTCTGGAAAAAACATGTCTCCATCAACACCTTGGTGCTGAAGGACCTGAGGGGCCCACTCTAAAGATCCATTAATTGCCAGAGAAGGAGTTTCCCATAATTAGAAAATCATATTCTTTAAAATTCCCTAAGTGCCTTTTCACTGAACAGCCCAAACCCATAGTTGTTTTATGCTTTGCAGCAACATGAGGCTCTCCCAGATCCACATCACCCACACACTGAGGGAGCAGGTCCAGGACATTTTCAATAGGAAATACAGTGAGCAGTGGAACACCCCCGGGGGAGGGACACGCAGACACTGTGGACAGAGAAGTGGGAGGCTTCCCACTTCCAGCCGAAACTATTCACTCCCTTACACATATTTCTTGAGGATTTACCAAATGCCAGGCACGTCTCAGGCACTGGGGATACTGCGGTGAATGAAACAGGAACTGTACTCATGAGCCTTGCACCTGGGCAACATGGCAAAACCCCGTCTCAACCAAAAATACAAATATATTAGCCAGGTGCGGTGGTGCACTCCTGTGGTCCCAGATACTCAGGAGGGTGAGGCAGGAGAATTGCTTGAGCCTGGGAAGTAGAGGTTGCAGTGAACTGAGATCACACCATTGCACTCCAGCCTGAGCAACAGAAGTGAAACTATCCAAAAAAAAAACAAAAAAAGCCTGGGCTTGGGCTGACGTGGGCAGATCATGAGATCAGGAGTTCAAGACCAGCCTGGTCAACTTAATGAAACTCCCTCTTTACTAAAAATACAAAAAATTAGCTGAGTGTCGTGGTGGCCACCTGTAATCCCAGCTACTCAGGAGGCTGAGGCAGGAAAATCGTTTGAAGCTGGTAGGCAGAGGTTGCAGTGAGTTGAGATCGCCCTACTGCACTTTAGCCTGGGCAACATAGTGAAACTGTCTTTAAAAAAAAAAAAAAAGAGGAGCATAGGACATGGTAGCATGTTGGTGTGGCTTCTTCTTTCTTTTTTCCTTTCAGACAGTCTCTCTGTCACCCATGCTCGAGTGCAGTGGTGTGATCATGGTTCACTATAGCATCAAACTCCTGGGCTCAAGCAATCCTCAGCCTCCCAAGTGGCTGGAACCACAGGCATGCACCACCATGCCCAGCTTTTTAAAAGAAATTCTTAGGAGAGTATGTCTCCCAGGCTGAACTCAAACTCTTAGACTCAAGTGGTCCTCCCGCCTTGGCCTCCCAAAATGCTGGGATTACAGGCATGAGTCACCCTGCTGGCCTATTGTTTTATTTTCTGATCAAATAGCTCAGATTGTAATGCCTATACGTTTCCACGGTGCTACAACACTTTCGCATCGTTCACTCTTCTGCATGGATGCCTTTCCATCACATGCGTGAAATCCTATGTACACACGCCCCACACTGGCTCTCACTGCCGACCAGCAGGACCCTGCCTCTCACCCACAGGGGAAGCCTTGGGCATCAGGTACCCGGTCCAAGTGCCCTACAAGTGATAAGAGTAACCCCTGCCCCATAATCATCAAGGGGCTGCTCCCAGAAATCCTGTTCTGAAAACCCTTCACCTTGGAGCTATCGCTCCAGCCTGCTCCCCCACCACTCCGGTCGCCCTCCTACCACTCCAGCCCGCTTTCCTACCGCTCCAACTGTCACCCTCCTACCGCTCCAGCCCGCTCCCCAACCCCTCCGGTCGCCCTCCTACTGATCCAACCCACTCCCCTAAGACTCCGACCACCCTCCTATCCCTCCAGCCCGCTCCCCTATGACTCCAACCACTCTCCTACCCCTCCAGCCCACTCCCGTCTGACTCTGGCCTCCCTTCTACCACTCCAGCCTGCTCCCCTATGACTCCAGCCGCCCTCCTACCACTCCGGCCGCCCTCCTAACCCTCCAGCCCGCTCCCCTCCCTCTCCGGCCACCCTCCTACCGCTCCAGACCGCTCCCCTATGACTCCGGCCGCCCTCCTACCACTCCAGCCCACTCCCCTACCGCTCCAGCTGCACTCCTACCGCGCCAACCTGCACCCCTACCGCTCCAACCGCCCTCCTACTGCTCCAACCCGCTCCCCTAACGCTCCAGCCCGCTCCCCTACCACTCCGGCGACCCTCCCACCGCTCCAGCCCGCTCCCCTACCCTACCGCTCTGGTGACCCTCCCACCGCTCCAGCCCGCTCCCCTATGACTCCGCCGCCCTCCTACCGCTCCAGCCCACTCCCCTACGACTCCGGCTGCCCTCCTACCGCTCCAGCCCACTCCCCTACGACTCCGCCGCCTTCCTACCGCTCCAGCCCGCTCCCCTACGACTCCGGCCGCCCTCCTACCGCTCCAGCCCGCTCCCCTACAACTCCGGCCACCTTCCACCGCTCCAGCCCGCTCCCCTATGACTCCGCCGCTCTCCTAAGGCTCCAGCTCACTCCCCTACGACTCCGACCACCCTCCTACCGCTCCAGCCCGCTCCCCTATGACTCCAGCTTGCTCCCCTACCGCTCCTGCCGCCCTCCTACTGCTCCAGCCCGCTTCCCTGCAGCTCTAGCTGCACTCCTACCACTCCAGCCCGCTCCCCTACCGCTCCGGCCACCCTCCTACAGCTCCAGCCCGCTCCCCTACCGCTCCAGCCGCTCCCCTACCGCTCCAGCCGCCCTCCTACAGCTCCAGCACGCTCCCCTACCGCTCCAGCCGCCCTCCTACCACTCCAGCCAGCTCCCCTACCGCTCCAGCCGCCTTCCTACCGCTCTGCCCGCCCTCCTACCGCTCCAGCCCGCTCGCGTACGACTCCGGCCGCCATCCTACCTCTCCAGCTGCCCTCCTACCGCTCCAGCCCGCTCCCCTACCTCTCCGACTGCCCTCCTACTCCTCCAGCCCGCTCCCCTACCGCTCCGGCCACCCTCCTACCGCTCCAGCCCGCTCCCCTACCGCTCCAGCCGCCCTCCTACCGCTCTGCCCGCCCTCCTACCGCTCCAGCCCGCTCGCCTACGACTCCAGCTGCCCTCCTACCGCTCCAGCCAGCTTGCCTATGACTCCGGCCGCCCTCCTACCTCTCCAGCCGCTCCCCTACCGCTCCAGCCGCCCTCCTACCACTCCGACCGCCCTCCTACCACTCAGGCTGCCATCCTACCGCTCCAGCCCGCTCCCCTACCACTCCAGCCCGCTCCCCTACCGCTCCAGCCACCCTCCTACCGCTCCGGCCG